ATGGGAAAAAAACAAAGATCGCGCCAAAAACCCAATGCGCCAACAGCCATTCATCTCCAATCTCAATTGTACTTCTTCATATTGAAAAACAATAAAGAAACAAAAGTACGTTGTAGTTCAATGTTCAGATCAGAGAAATCTCGCGGCCTTGTCCGGATTGCAAGAAGGACAAAAGCAAAAGCGAAATCAACAACATACGGAAAAAGGACATTGTCAAAGTGTCTGAGACGGAAAATAAGAAATGAAAAAAGACTGAGAAACTCAAAAAAGGGTTGCTGCAAGCTTTCTATCAACAAGAATATAATTTAAAAACGATAACGCATCAACAGGGAAAATAACAATCTTAAGAAAAAAACCCCTCCGAAAAATTGCAAATTTGCTTCGGTAAGGGTACGATTAACTGGAAGGGTTGCCGGTGGATTGGATCGAGACGCGCACTTGGCCAGAGTCACCGTCGACGCTGGCAAGCGTGTCAGGGCTCGCCGGCAAGTCTTGGCTGGCAGGCGCCTCCGACCGGACTGGATTTGGCGAGAGCGGGATTTCCTGCAGTTCAGTTGACTGCTCCCGTCCACGTCGTTGCCGCCGACGAAGCCGGAAAATGGTGGGGAGATGCGATCGTGGTCGAGCGTCGACACTGCTGCTGTAGTCGTCATTCTCCAGGCTAACAACAGCATGAGAGGGCGGTAGAATGGTTGCCTGCGAAACTACCAATGGCCCGGGTCCAGCGATCGAGTCCATCGAACCACGATTGCCGTGACCAGCAGGCAACGCTGACACCGGAACGGCAACGGCGAGCAGATACTCGCCTGCCGAAGGAGCTGGGAGCTGAATCGCGGCGACCTTGTCGCAAACCGCCTTGGACGTGGTGACATCCACGGTTGACGTGTACGGGACCCGGAGTATGATTCGCTCGTAGGGAGAAAAGTCCCGCAGACGAAAGTGGTACAGAATGGCAATGCCAATCAAGATTGCCAGGAGGCAGTGCAGCAGCGCGTCAATCCAGCGATAATACATCAGGAAGGAGCCTGCAAGTTCAACGCCGGCGTAAAAGATTGCCAATGTGACAAAGCCAATGCGAAAGTAGAGAGCAAACCGCAGCTTGGCGTGCAGTGCCTCCACCGGTCCAATGTACAAGACGGGACGAATCTGTCGCTGGATCAGATAGTTTTCGACCGTCGCCGCTTGCAGTCGCAAAATCTCAATGTTGTTTGTGGCACTCTTGAGGGAGATGAAGATGCAGATGAGCAACATGGCAATGACCACTCCCTGCACAACCAAAACACACAAAAACGAGTATTGGTGGTTGGTGAGTGCGGGCATTTTTCAAACACATCGACTTCCACAGATCAAAACTTACCAGGAAATACTCGTGCAACCAAGTAAGGCCGATAGATGAAAGGGCAAAAACAATCACAATCACTGCAACCGACCGGATCAGTATTAGAAACCCAAAACTCAAACCACAAATGTACCGACCAACACCACTCACAGGCAAAAACAGACTTCTTGGAGCGGGAGATTCTGTCTCCCAGCAAACACCAGCCCTCGGAGAGGAGAAGCAACAGGAGCATGAGGACAGTGTTGGTCAGGATGGAGATGAGCTCACGAACAGCCTGATTGGTCGAGTCCTCAAATCCGTCCGCAACAATGAGCTGGTACTGATGAAGCTCCAAGGTCGACAGCACAAACCGATGCAGTGGTAGGAGCACCAGAATTTGATGGAGTGCGGTGGAAAACTGGATGGCAGCACAAGAGCAATGCATGTGAGTGAACACAACCGTTTGCGTGTTTGGCACAAGTGGCGTTCGGAGCGCGCGCCGGTCGCATACTCACAGGTTTCAACGCCCACCAGTTGTAAAAGTAGAGCGCCAACATGACAATCCACGCGGCGGTCTGGATTTCAGTGATGCGAGGTATGTATGTTTCGTCGCTGGAGAGATGAACCTCACCCGGATTGAGAAGAGTGGCGGTGATCTATGGTTGGTGGCGTGCGTCAACATGAGGGGTGAAGTGAGCAATCAGAGAGTGCACACAGAGTGCACACACGCACACACAGGCAAAGGGCGTTGTGTGCAAGAACAAAGGCGAGAGGTGGTGCGTCTCACATGGCACTTTGGCTGGATGTCGGGAAAGGCACGGCAATTGAGGATGGACACGCCGAAAAAGCCATCCTCATCGACTACTATGTGAGCCTGGAACACGCCAGAGTCGGCGTCGCTGAACATCCGAGCCTGATTACAGCTGTAATGCAACCCAGTGATGCGGGTTCGGTTTGGGTTGTAAATTGGGTAGTTGCAAGCAATGCCTGCGCCAGCATAGTCCATCATCTGCATTTGCGTTGCATAAAAGGGGTAGCGGCAGTTAAATTGGGTTGGATGTACAGAAACGAACGGGGTGTCACATAGCAAAACGAAAACCCTGGCGAGAATAATGTCCACAAAATTGCAGTGCAGAAAGAAGCACAAAACAGCGAGTCCCAAACGCGGCCAATGGGGGTGGGGAAAGGGGGAGGGGTCATAAAAATCTTACAGCCTTGTTCTGATCACCAGTGCAGAGCAGCAATGACAAGTCGGTTGGCGGTGCATTCTGTCCAACGTCCAGGCAATGATCAACAACAACAACAACAACAAAAGCACAGTAAGAACACACATTGAAAACACATTGAAAACTCAGCAATCAATGCAGAACTAAAAGCGTCGAAGAACAAAAAAAAAAAAAAAAAAAAAAGATCAAAACTCAAATCGTGAGAAAAAACGATGAGAAAAAAAAGCTCAAACAAAAGACACAGAAACAAAATCGGGCGACGAACGACAAGAGAGAGAAGCGCCAAGGACGTCGAACTTGGACAGAGCGAGCAAAGGAGAAGTGAGGAGGAGGTGGGGGGGACAACTGAAGGTGGGACAGCGGGAGCAGAGAGGAGCAGGAAGGGGAGTCGGGACGCGAGTGCGAAAGGACCGTGGGAAAAGAAAAAAACGGAGGAAGACCCAATGGGACTGACGTACGCAGACCACGGTGGCGGTCGCCTCGCCGCCAGCGTAGAAGCCAAAGAGGTCGTTGTCGTCGAGGATCTGGAAGAACTGGTTGGGCTGGCGGAGGGTCAGGTCGCTCGTGTACACGCGAGCCTCCACCGTCCGAGGAACCGCAGTCCAGGTCTGGAATAGCACTACGGCAAGCAGCAGCAAACGCTTCAGCTGCAGTGCCGACGCACCCATTTGCCGAAATGGGGGAGACGGCGCAACGTTTATAGAGAGGCAAGAACTGAGCAAAAAAAGCGGGGGGGGGGAAGAAAGCGCTGGGAGGAAAGAAGGGGGTCCAGAACAATGGCAAATTGAAACACGAATGGACTGAACTCAAACTCCCAAGGCTTTGTAGCCAATTTTCCCACCGTCAATCAGCAATCACTTCTGCGTGACGCGGGCTTGAGGAGCACACAGTCATGCACCAGTAGGTAGATAAAAACCGATTACTATTTGTTTTAGAACATGGACAAGCTCTGGAACGAACACAGACAGCTGAAAGCTTAAAATACAAAAGCGAAAATGAAAAATGAAAACCCCAAAACATTGAATTGCTCAGACAAGCACAACGTTGGGTCGAATGGTGGTGTCGGAAAAGCGCAGCTCTGGGTGGTGCACAACGCCGTCGGGAGTGGTGGTCGAGACCGTCGCGACATAGTTGAAACGGTCAGCCGAGTACATTGTGACTCCAGCGGCTTGCGCAGCAATCAGCCACTCCCCCAATGCATCGAGCGCACCCTGGCGGCGCACGTCGTCAGCACCGGGCACCATGTTGTTGCGTTCGCTGACACCGCGAGCCCGCCACTGTCCATGTACCGGATTGAACGGACCACGAGGCAATGCGACGCTTCCGAGAGAACTACTTGCCCAATCGTTGCGGCCGAGTCGGTCTAGCGCTGTGCGCGCAATCACCGCCGAATAAGGCGCGCCAATCACGTCAACGTACTCAAACTCAAGCGACGGCTGATACCGGTGCAAGACAGTTGGCCAGCTCGGCGTGGAGGTAGTGCCGGCTTCCTGCTCGCCTGCGGCATCTAAATCAAGAGCGTCTGCAGCGCTGCGGGTGTGCGTGTGGTTGCCTGCTTCGAAGGCAAGAGCAAACGCCGCGCTCTTGCCGACAATTTCCGCGTCAGTGTGCGTGAAGGCATGCATGGCATCCGTGAGAAAGTTGGGTCCGTAGAAATGGCGGCCGTTCAGAAACAGGACGTGCGAGCCCGTCAATGAGCCAGACTGGAGCAGGATATTGTAACAGGCCCCCATCGGAAGCGCCCGTGTGCGAGCTGAACGCTCTCCTGTCGCAGTAGAGACGAAGCGCACGCGGCCTACGAGTCCAGGATACTCCGCCACAAGCCAGGCGATAATTTCGCGCATGTTGCACTCGACGAGGCCTGGCACCGAGTCGGCAAAGACCAGCTCAAAGTCATCGTAGGTAAACGTGCCCACCATGTTCAGCACCCTCACAACCTGGCCCACGTCACAGTCCGTGTTGGCCCAGCTCCACTCGGACCCCTCTGCTCGGTTGCCGAATGCGGGCGCTTGCCGCGCAGAAAGCTCAGTCTCATCGTCCATGGGAGCGCTGCTGTCTGACTCGTCGTCCTCCTCTTCTGCAGATCCATCGAGCGGCTGTGGCTGTGGCTGTGGCTGTGGCTGTGGCTGCTGTTGCTCCTCGGCCTGTCGTTGCGTTTGCAAGAGCGCAAACTCGGCTCGCTGTCGAGTTTGGCGCTCCAACGCCGCCAGAAGATTTTCGGATGGTTGCAGGACGTAAACAATACTAACGCGACGAGGCATTGGGGAGCACACCTGGTCAATCCTCTGACGAACAATCGTGCTGTCGCCCAACGGAGGATTGGCAAACTGCAACGGCTGGAATTCGTTGCGCGCTGACGCGAGCGCCGTCCGAAAAGGTGCCTCCTTGACGTGTGCAAGAATGACCTCAAGTATGCTGTCAAACCGATGCCGGTATGTGTGCCGCTGCAACAGTCGTCGCCTGGCACGAACCGCCATCTGCTCGCGCTCGAGTGCACAGGTGGCGAGGAGGTCTGCCCAGTAGTCTGCCTGCTCAGAGGTGTGGGCAATCGCAATTCCATTCGAGTCGAGCATGGCTTGAAGGGCCGGCGAAGCGTTGGAGAGCACGGGAGTACCGCTCATCAAGGCTTCGAGCGCGCGCCTCGAAAACATGGACGCCGAGTTGTGAATCGAGTTGACGTTGATCATCACATTGTACTGGCGATACAAATCCATCATGGACTTGTACGTGACGGCCGAGCGCAGGTACCGACGAAATCGCTTTGGAAACGGCTTAATGTAGCTGGGATACATGGCCGCGGTCACGTAGCGATCGAAAATGGTCACTGTGCCGTACTTGACGGCCGAATCCAGCAGCATGGCCAGATGCTTGCTCCGGTCAAAGTACTTGGAGGTGAAGGCAAAGCTTCCGGCAAACACAAACTCTGACAGAGGGGCGACAGTGTCGCGCTTGCGGCCGATCGGGGTGTGTCGCCAGGGTTGTGCGGCGAACGGGAGAACCGCCACGCGCTTGTGCCCCACGAGCTCCTGGTAGCGCGTCACAAGGGCGACCTCTGTCGTGAAGATAAAGTCAAAGCTGCGAATCAAGCGGTTGCGCAGACCAAACCGGTCAAAGTTTGGAGGATCCTCCTTGTTCCAAAAGATGGTGGGGATTCCTCGTGCTCGACACCATGCCAGTAGCTCGCGCAACGCAACGGCCGATCTGCCCGAAGAACGCTCAAATGCACGACTCGTCCAGGGCTGAAGCCACACGGACTCGACGATGAGCAAGTCCGGCACGCGCGCCGAGACTTGTGCCAGCCAGGTCTTTGGATGCAGTGCGTACAGCTCGCTCTCGGGACTGAAGCATTCGTACGTCATGTTGTTGCTTTCCATTATAACAGCGACGACGAGGTTGCATCGTGGGCTGGAGACGGGCTCGCGATCCACAAACCTTGAGACGAGGAGGTTGTTGTTGTTGTTATTGTTGTTGTTGTGCCTCAAGTTGGATTCTGTGCGTCCAGCCTCGTTGATCACCACCTAATGTGTTTAAGAATTTGATAGCAAGCAGAAGGAAGGACAGACAACAAAGAGTCAGTCGAACAACCGATTTGACACGTCACGTCAAACTCATCAAGGCGGTCGAGCAGCCGAAGCGCCTTACAGGCGCGGGAATGTACTCTGGCAACTCGTCCCACAAGCGGCAGGAATGGTCGCAAGATGCACTGTCGGACGGAAGGGCCGGCACTTGAGGCTCTGAACCGGGTGGCAACAGCGGGGGCTGAAGCGCTTCCTCGCGACGGCGATTCGACTGTGCACTGCGAAGCTGCAGCTGCAGCTGCTCGTGTTCGTCCCGGCTGGCCTGCAGCTGCACTTGTAGACTTTGGATTTGAGCAAGCAGCTCGGCGGGACTGCTCGAGCGGTCGCCGTTGTCTCGGTCCAGTTGGCCGACGCCCTCAGCAACAAAGTTGACATTGTGGGGCGACAGTGTCCGTTGAGTAACAGTGTCCTGTCCTCCTGGAGGCCCAATCAGAAATAGCAGGAACAGAATCAGTCCGAGTCCGGCCAATGCGGCCCGGCGATTCGACCGCCACCGCATTGTATGACTCGTCAACGATGACAAAAGGGAGACTGACTTGAATTGGTACTGTATGTACTGTACTGCGTGTGTGGGGCTTAATACTGTGTTCCATTAAGTGTGACAAGCAAAAACAAACTCAATCCAATGCGACAACCAACGACTTTTTTTGGATACAACGAGGGACAACAACCACAACAACAACAACAACAACAACAACAACAACAACAACAACAACAACAACAAAGCAGAAGAAAGCGGACTACTTGGAGGCAGTCACCCAATTGTTTGCATGCTGACCACCCTCGTGGGCGTGCGCATGAGGCACATGATGAAGCGTGCTGCTGCTGCTGCTGCTGCTGCTGTTGTCGTGCGGGAACTCTGAGGCCTTGATGCTCACGGGGAGCGGCGGGGGCGATTGGACGATGGAGGGCTTGGACGTGGCGGTTTGGTACTCGAGGTACGAGTAGAGCAGCGAGCCCGAGATGCTAATGTTCAAGCCGACAAAGTTGGCCATGGAGAAGACATAGTCGCCGCCGAGGAACATGCCGACGTAGGTGGTGACAATGTTCTTGAGGCAGCCGGTGATGATGGTCGTCAGGGCCGAGTTGATCTTGGTGCAGACGACAATGGAGACGTTGAGGATGCAGCCCATGAGCGACGCGAGCAGGAAGAGCAGGACAAAGGTGGGGTCGCGCCAGCCAGGGAAGTTGAGGACGGGGCCAATCTGGTGGCCGTCGACAAAGTACAGGGTGGCGATGAGGATGGGGAGCGAGATCAGGTTGTTGTAGTACAGCAGGCCGAAGGTGCCGAGCGACTTGGAGTCGAGCTTTTGCTTGATAAAGACGCAGTTGAGTGCCGAGCACAGATTGTTGACCATGATGAGCGTGTATCCGAGCGCGTCAAAGACCAAGTCGTTGCCGGCGGCAACCAAGGCGCCAAAGATGAGCAAAAAGACGCTCATCTTGACCATCGAGGTGGACTGCTTGCCCAGGACGTAGTACTCGGCAATCATGGCCAAGAAGATGGTAAAGCGACGGAGCACGGTGAACATGGCGAGATTGATCATCTTTGTGCCACCCAGGCCAGTGACCGTGTTGACCAAGAAGACGAGCGGAAGCGGATGTGTTTGCCGCACGACGGCGAACGAGAATGACGGGAAGGAGACGTAGCCGAGCTGCTTGGCAATGCCAATCGAGACGACCGTGCTAATGTATTGCCCAAGCGCCAGGAAGCTAAACGATGGAAACCCGTACGTTGTCAGCACAATCTTGTTGACAAAAATGATGGCGAGCGACGTGGTGGCGTAGAAGAGCGCTGCGCCTGCGCGGACGAGCGGCGGGTGGTTTGCCTCTTGCACCATGTTGATTGTGTCGATGCGATGGATGGTTGCTCGAGCAAGCAGGAGGAGTGAGGAAGCAGGAGGAGCAGGAGGAGCAGGAGCAGGAGCACGAGCAGGAGCAGGAGCACGAGCGGAAGGCGGCGGGCCAGAGACTGAGACTGAGGAAACGGAGTGCTTTGCGCGAGACTTGATCGCCAGCTTCTAACAAGCACAGATCAGCTCGATGACAACTTGATCTGTAGTGGTCATTGTTACAAATGCCAAAGTCAGTGAAACAGTCGAAGGGCAGAGTTGAGTTGAGTTGAGTGAGGGTGAGTTGAAAACTGGCATGCGAACGGCGTGGATGAGACTTTTGGAGGGGGGGGGAGCCGCGGCTGTGTGTTGGAAGCCACACAGAGGGACGAACGAAGGAGAGAGAGTGAGAGCGAGAGTGAGAGAGCGAGTGAGAGACCTTGACGCTGCGAAAAAAAAAAAAAAAAAAAAAAAAAAAAAAAAAAAAAAAAAAAAACGAACGAAAGCCAATGGAAAAGGCAGCAAAACCCAAAAAAAAAAAAAAGTGAACCCAAACGCAAAGTCACTCAGTGTTGGATGAAACCGGAACGCCGAGCGAGTAATCCACGTTTTCCCCTCTGCGTTTGGACAAGTCTCTCGTTTTAGAGTCCAATCGAGATCAAAAAAACGAAATGACAAAAAATAAAGGTGAAACAAGGGGAGAGTGAGGGCGAAAAAAAAAAATGGAAAAAAGTAAAGGGAGCGGCGGGCACGGTCGCCGTTTTGCGTTTCCAGTCCGTGAGTCAGGGGGGGGGGGCAAATGCGTGCATAGGAAGAGAAGGCAGTTTGACGCGAACGCAGACCCACAAGCGAGGGGTGGAGCGGATTGCGTCGGCGTCGTGGGGGGGTTGAAAAAGCAAAAACCCCGCGGAAAAAAGCCTAAATGAAACTGACAACTTTTTTTCGTGTGTGAAGCGAACTTGACAACCTGCACGCGACAAGTCAAAGCAGCAACAGCAGCAGAGAGACTGAATCGCCGAGGAAATCGACAACGAAAAATCAAATCTGCATGAACAACACAATACCACCGACTTTGGAAGAAACCAGACTCGAGATCCAGAGAGACAACTCGCTGCAGAAGTTCAGTGCTTGACGACCAGATCGATCGCTTTGTTGCTTTTTCTTTTTGTTGTTGTTGTTGTTTTGGAGCGGGTGTTATATTTTTTGGGTGTTAAAGTGTGCAGCTGACCCGCAAAAAAACAAACAGATAAAAAGAAGTGCGAGTTTTTAATGCCGATGGTTCGATGGTTGGATGGATGGATGGATGGATGGATCTCGTTGCAAAGCTCATTTAATAACCAGAAACAAACAAAGCTACAGACACCACAGTCGGTGAATAAGAAAAAGGGGGAAAACTAACAAGAGACAAACACACATTGACACAGACACGCAAACACACACACACTCACTCACTCACCCACACCCAAGCAACGTTGGCTTTGATCACCAGGCCAAAAAAAACCAGTTGGTGGTCACCATCGCACAACGTGGAAGGTGTGGTGAGTCACGGCGGGTTTTTCGCTGTCTTGTTTTTTTTACATCGTAACAATGATTGGCCCACAAACGGGCAAATGGAAAACAGGGACGTAGCCGAGGTACGTGGATACCAAGGCGGAAAAAAGGAAAAGAAAAACAAAGAAGACACAAAAGGAAAGAAAAAAAAAAGGTGAAAAGTAGAAAAAAAAAAAAAAAACACCAAACCCACATGCGTGACAACGCAGCAGCGGGCGGGCGGGGGAGATCAAAGCCTTATGCGCCAATGCTCAGCTTGTTGGTCGATAGCGAGGTGAGCAAAATGTCGACAATCTGCTGGGCGGCAGTGCCGTCGCCGAACGGGAAGCACTTGCGCGACATGGCGGCAAAGGTCTGGTCGTCCGTCAACAGCAGGGTGGCTTCCTTGACGATGGTGTCGTCATTGATGCCAACCAGCTTGGTAACACCGGCATCGACACCTTCGGGGCGCTCGGTGGTCTCGCGAAGGACAATGGTGGGCTTGGCAAGCGCGGTGACCTCCTCCTGGATGCCGCCAGAGTCGGTCATGACCATGTACATGCGGTCGAGGAAGTGGACAAAGACGTCGTACTCGAGCGGGTCGAGCAGATGGACGCGTTCCATCTTGCCCAGCTCCTGGCGGACGGGCACGCACACGGCGGGGTTGAGATGGACGGGGTACCAGATGTGGACGTCCTTGTGCTGGGCGATAATGCGCTTGACGGCGCGGCAGATGGCCGCAATGCCCTCGCCGTGGTTTTCGCGGCGGTGGGCAGTGAGCAGAATGTGACGGGCCTTCTGGCCGGCGGGCAGGACGGCGTTGGTGGCGGCGTCGGCAGCCTCGACGCGGTCGAGCAGCTGGCGGGCCGCTGCCGAGGGCACCTTCTCGCGAATCAGCATGATGGCGTCAATGACGGGGTTGCCCGTGACAAAGACCGTGTTCATGTCGATGCGCTCGGCGCGCAGGGCGTCGGCGGCGTAGGACGAAGGCGCAAAGTGCAGGTTGCCAACGACCGAGACAATGCGGCGGTTGACCTCCTCCGGGAAGGGGTTGTAGCGGTCGTTGGTGCGCAGACCAGCCTCAATGTGGCCCACAGGCACGCGGTAGTAGAAGGCGCACATGGCGGCAATCATGGCGGTGGTCGTGTCGCCCTGGACGAGCACGAGGTGCGGGCGCACAGCCTCAAAGACGGGCGCGAGCGCCAGGAAGAGGCGCGCAGACAGGTTGGAGAGCGTCTGGCCCTGGGTCATCAGGTTGAGGTCGACGTCCGTGGCAATGTCAAAGAGCGAGAGCAGCGGGTCAATCATCTGGCGGTGCTGGCCCGTGACGCAGGTGATGGAGAGGATGCTCTCAGAGCGCTTGTCCATCTCCTTGAGCACGGGGTAGAACTTGATCACCTCGGGGCGGGTGCCGAAAATGGACAGCACGCGAGTGGCGGTCGGACGCTCGGCAATGCGTGCAGCAACGTTGGGGTACGAGGCGCCGCACGCGAGCATGGCCGCCGAGGGCGAGGGCGACAGTGGTGTCGTGGGGATGGACGGCACCGGCGTCAGAAGGCTAGAGTTCATAATGTTCAGGAGCTGCTTGGACATGGTTTTTTTTTTGTTAAGGGGTGAGTATAGGCAGCGGTTGGTTCCTGCGGTAATGTTGCGGTCAAAAGGGTCGAAGGAGCGAGGAGAAAGAGGAGGGGAAATAAAATAAAAAGGCGAGGGTCGGAAAATGACGAACAGAAAAAAAAGGGAGGGCGAGGTAGCACGAGAGGGCGAGGTAGAGCGCGAGAACAAAAGAGAGAGAGAAGAGAAGAAGGAAAGAGCCTTGTTGAAGAAGTCACGACCGCAATGGAAGGAGCAGAGCAGACCACAAAGAGCGCTAAAGAGCAAAGCGGTGATGAAAAAAATGATGAGTGAGACAAGACCGCTTTTGGAAGCGAAGCCGAAATAGGCGGATGGCTTCGGCGACCTGTCAAACTCCAAATCGGGGTTTGAAGGGCGGGATTTTTTTTTGTTGTTGTTTTTTTGTTTTTTTAACGATTTTTCGTTGCTTGTCAAAAGCGAATTGACAGCCAATAGCAACACCAACAACAAATGCACATCAGCCCCTCATTGCACATTTAAAAGTAAAATAGAACGACAGCAAGGCGAACAGGAGAACGAAAAAAGCCTTGGAGAACGGAGATGACACCATTCCCTGCAGGAAGTGTCATACTCGCACTCTCTCACGCCCGCCAGAAAATCAAGATGAAACACATCAAGAGGTGATCACTTTGGTTAATTGGGGGAGAAAAAAACCACATCGCACAACAACAACAACAAAGTCGAAGCAGCTCAAAAAACCGCCCGAAAGATCTGACCGCAGTGAGCCCCGAAAACGCTGGAACACCCACGCGCGTCGGTTTCACAGCCGCCGCAGCCGCCTTCTCCCCCTCGTGTTGTGAGTGTTGTGTGGAGAGTTCCGCCAGCTTTTTGAACAGAGGCAGGAAGTGAGAGAAGGAGTGTGAAAAAGGGCGCAGCGAAATAAGATCCTTCTTGTTTTGCTTTCAAAAGCGCACACTTTCGTTGTCAAGGCATCTGGCCAGAGTGATGCATCGGCAGAGTGTTCGTCAATGATGTCAAAAAAGGAGGTACGCCAGCAACAAACAAAACGCGAGCGGCAACGTCGGACGTAGCGCAGGGAGGCGAGAAGCACGAGAACAGCAATCCATCTCGACAAGCAAAAATCAGAGTCGTGGGGTCCTCGCAGGAGTCGACAGCAGTGACGCCCAAATACACTCCGAGAACCCCACACACACACGCTCGCGCGACTTGACGAGGTGACAAGCCGACAAGGCGCGAGACAAGCCATAGCCCCCCAGAGTAAAAGCACTCGAAACGCTCCAACATCAAAAAACCAAAAAACCTGCCAAACCAATCTGCAGCAAGCGCACAAAGTCTTGGCGTTTGGCTTTGACTGACGCGCGTTCGGAACCCGTGTGGGAGCCCTCCAGGATGGCTCTTTATCTCGGTCCAACCACTGCCTGGCGCCTCTGTCTCGCTCCTCTCGCTCTGTCCACTGCTCTGGCCGCGCGCTGCATTCTCGGCTGGAGAGCAAAACGACCTCGTGCTGACTTGCCAAAAAGCCGCTCGTTCAGCCCCGCCCCGCGCCGCCCCCGCCCTGCCTCACGCGCCAAGCAGACCAGTGTACTCCACAGTCACAAGGGGGATGTAGGGGTGCGCAAGGATGTGCGAGAATGGAGCGACTAGCAGCGTGCGCCTTTTTGTTTTTCCCGCTTACCACTGACAAACCGAAAAAAAAAAAAAAAATGACAGGAAGCCAAAAAAAGTGCTGACCGAGCTTTCTGTTTCGGCATACTCGGGTTTTTCGAGCATCGGGTGCGGAGCGCTTACCAGAGCAGATTTATGTAATGGTTTGCAGTCTCGTTTCGCAGGCGCATCCAGAAGGCGTCATTGAACGAGAGGCGAGGCTGTTTTTGATTGGGGCAAAACACACAAAAACCCGCAACAAAAAAGGGGCGGCGCAGCGCATACCAGCCAAAGTCAGCACAAAGAAGGCAAGTGGGTTGGCAGCGCAGATATGCAATGCTGTAAACTGCGTCTTCAAGCATTCTCAGGGGGGGGGAAACGGGGCACGGCTGCCGACGCCAAAGCGAAGCGAAGCGCAGCGGTTTGAAAGGTTGCATTGCAATGCGAAATTTGACATGCCTGTCAAAACATCAAAAACAACAAAACAACAAAACACGCAGTTTTTCAAATGAATGTTTTTGACATGTACTGGCGAGTGGAACATCGAGTCTGCGGGGGGTTGTGCTCTACGTTGCACAATGAGTTTCACCCAGCTTGGACGTCGGTGCTCCAACAGAGCGAGCTGCGTTTTGGCGGCGAGAAACAAACCGAAGCGTCGAATGCTCAACAAGGTGTGGTTTGTTCTGTTTGTGTATGTTGTCGTCGAACATGGTGCCATTTCATTTCATTCTCGATCTTTGTTCGTCACTGAGTTAGCCAGTAAGTGAGTCATTGAGCTCGTTGTGCGATGAAGCCACCGACTGTTTTCAAGTTTTCGTGCCCTGACTCATCCAACTCCTGTTTCGCCACCGAGTCCAAACCATAAACAGTGCACAAAGCCTCCGAGCATGAAGCACATGATGTTGATCAGGTTGGTGAAGGTAATCAAACCAAAACCCTCCTCGTTTGAAACCATTGGAGTCTTTGACTCTGAAACTTGTGAAAGCAACGGTCAACTCTCCAATCTATCAATCAATCAATCAATAGAATCCCTCTTATCCAAATCCAACTTGTAATTTGTGCAGTCAGGCTTTTTGCTCTTTTTTTTTTTCTGTTGCTTGTCGGTGTAGCTCAGACTTGGCTCTTCTCCGATTTTTGGCGCCAAGACATGCTTGGAGCGATTGCGCGCAAGTCCACTCTGCCGTGGCGTCACGCTCAGTCCGCGCTGCCCGCAGTGATGGGATTGGCATGCAGCTTGCCGCACAGTCTGCTCCAAGGTGGCTTGACGGGAGGGAGCACGTCACCGCATCTCACTGTCTGTCGGCGACACGCGTCGAGTTGGCCGCCAAGACGACGCTCGCATGGCGCCTTTTTCATGCATGGAGCCGCCCTGGAACAACGCAGCCGGCATAGTGCCACAAGTTACAGCGGCTTTGGCCTGCTGGGGGCACAGGCTCACACTGCCCGGGCAATGTCGAGCGCGCCCGCCAAGCCAGACCAACTCTCAACGTCATTGAGCGTCGCAACGCTGCCTGCTGGAGACACACCCTCTGATGGAAAGCAGCATGCTCATGCCGAGACAGCGTCGACGACCATTCCATCGGACAGTGCTACGCCAGAGCCTGTCAAGAAGGCGAAACGGACCAAGCGAGCTGCCGCTGCCGCTGCTGCTGCTGCTGATGATGCCCATCCCGAGCATCCTGACGCGCTGCTGACACCCAAGGACAATGAAAAGTTCAACGTCGTTGTCAAGCAGACAAGAGGCGGGCGACAAAGCGGCACGGTCAAAACCTTGGGGCCACTGGATCGTTCTCACAAGGTCGAGTCGCCCCCGCTTCGGCCTTATCAGATTGAGTGCATTGACAAGTGCCTGCAGCATGTAGCCGATGGGAATCGGCGGATGATTGTCTCGCTTCCCGTTGGGTCTGGCAAGACGGTCGTGTTTGCCAACTTGATCAAGCAGCTTCCGCAGCCCAAACCATCGGCCTTCAAAACGCTCGTGCTTGCCCATCGCGAGGAGCTCCTTGTGCAAGCCATGCACCAAGTTCACAAGTTCAATCCCCATGCGGTAAGGCTTCTTTTGCTTTCTGAAGCCCGATTCGGTTCTTTCGTGAATATTGTGTTTGCTCTTTTGTTTGTGTGTGTTTTCATTTTTTCTGTCTGCTTGTGGACCTCTCACCTGTATGCTCCGCTCGCTCTACCCATCCGCTTGTGTGGCACGCCTCAGAAAGTTGGATTGGAGAAGGCTGGGTTTTCAGCACCGCCAGACTGTGACGTTGTGGTCGCAAGCGTCTGCACGCTGGGACGGGATGAGTCGGAACGCATCTTGCGATTCGATCCAAACGAATTCAAGTTGATTATTGTGGATGAAGCACACCATGCGGCTGCCGACACGTACATTCGGGTGCTTCAGAACATGAACGCCCTGTCTCCCGACTCGCACATTGTCGTTTGGGGCTGCTCGGCGACTGTCCAACGCAATGACCGCGATCTCAAGGATGTGTTTGACAAGGTCGTGTACAATCGCACCATTCAGGAGATGTGGGATGAAAAGTGGTATGTTTCTCGGCTGTGAAAGCGCAATTCTTGTTGGGCCTCGTTCAACCGACTTGTGTTTGTTTTGCAATTTCGTATTTGGACAACACAGGCTAGTTCCCATTCGCTCGAGTCGCATCTCAACAAGTGTCAATCTGAACGCTGTTCGACTTCGAGGGAAAGAATTTGTCGAGAGTGACCTGGCAGCGGAAATTAACGTCGAAGCACGAAACGAGCTCATTGTCAACGCTTACCTCGCTGGTGTGCATGGTATGTCCTCTCTCAAGTTGAATCGAGATTTGCCGTTTGTTTCTCTTGTCGAAACTCACTAGGTTCACCTTGTGCGACAGGAGTGCGAAAGTCCACTCTAGTTTTCGCGATCAGCATCGACCACACTGAATCCCTGGCGAAGGCGTTCGTGCAGAAGGGCGTTGAGGCGCGCGCTGTGCACAGCCAGCACACTGCCGAGTATCGAGCCGAAAGTGTGCGGCTGTTCAAGGAGCAGAAGCTACCCGTGCTGGTCAACTGCGGTGAGATGAGTCTGTTGTTGCTGTTCCTTATCGATCTGTTCGCCTTAATGTTCTACTTTATTTGTTTTGTGGACACTCATTTTCTTTTCTTTCTTGTTTCGGATGCAGGAATCTTCACCGAAGGCACCGACATCCCATGCATCGACTGCCTCATCCTCGCGCGACCAACACTGAGCGCCAATTTATTCACTCAGATGGTCGGGCGGGGCTTGCGAAGGCACGAGAGCAAGGACGACTGCCTTGTCATCGATGTGGTTGACCAACTCAGCAAGCATTCGCTGATGGTAGTTCCAAGTTTGGTTGGCTTGGACTCTAGCTTTGATGCGCACGGTAAGTGAGCAAACAGTTTGCCTTCTCAGACAACGCTGCATTTTTTTTCACTCACGATTGCCTTGTGGTTGTTTTCGATTCTCTTTGCTCCACCAGGTGGAAACATTACCGAAGCGGCCAAACTGGTCAACGATCTTGCAGCACAGGGAATGCCTGCCATGCTCGCCACGTCTGTCGATCAGCTGGCGGCACTCTGCGACCCGGGTGATGCACGGTTGGCAGCGTTCAAGCTCCTCATTGGCGAGGTCGTTGGCAACGTTTCCTTGTCCGAATCAGAAGAGTACGATGCAACTCGCCAACTTCGTGGTCGAATGGACGGCTGGTTTGCCTATTCTTTGGGCAAGTGGTATCGTCCCGTTCCATTGAAGGGCTATCTCATGATTCAGCAAGACGGACTAGGTACAGGTCTTTGATTGTGCGGCTCGCGTTCAGGACGTGTGGTTTTGTTTTGTTTTTGCCTTTATCTAATTTGTTTTTTTGTTTTTTTGTTGTTTTTTTTTTTGGGGGGGGGGGTCCCTTGTCATTGCGATGACCAGGCTTGTTTCACACGCAAATGCGCTTTACAGACCGCCGACGCAAGCCTCCAGTGGAAGAGGTCGGCGAGCCGCAGCCGTCATTGGCTCTTGCGAAAAAGGAAGCCAAAATCTATCTGCGGGATGCGTTTCCCGACATCCAGGCGCTCCTGAACACCAATGGCACTTGGCGCAAAGAGCCTGTGACGGACAAACAAATGGACATGCTCAGCGAGTATCATCCCAGCGTCGACACAATCTTCCCTCGCCCAATCACCAAAGGCGAGGCATCGGAGCTGATTAGCAGAATGAAAGTTATTGCTGCACTCGAGCGCTCTCGCTACGCCACCACGACTGCGAAAGAAGAAATGGCTCGGGCTGCTCGCATGCAAGCATTTGTGCGTCCTGCAGCCTTGCGTGGGATTGTGGATGCATCGGGACGCGGTTGAACCACGCTTTTGAATTTGTTATTTTTTTTGTTTTTTGTACAATTGTATACTCTGCCTCCTTCGACACCCTGAACAGTGTAGTCCCACACGCTCTATTCCCAGCTCAACCGGCATTGTCTGACTGGAACTTCAACCACAGCAGCACTTAGCAAACGCGAAAACGCAAGCGAATGCAAGCTTAGTCGAATTTTTTTTTTTTTTTCGTTTTCTTGTTCTTTGAACGCGCACATGTCGGACGTGGACGAAGCAATGCCGCCTGCGACGCGGGTGCCTGGCGACCTCGACTACGCTGCAGAAGCAATGGATGTGACTGGCGACGATGGGTTTGACGACGATCCGCTGGCGCTGGAGCGAGCGCTGGGCTTCAATCCCAACCGCTCAGTCGCGAGCACGCCGATCAGCAGAATGGCGAAGACGAACGGCAAGTCCAGCAGCGGCGGCGGCAGCGCCATGACCAAGATGCGCAGGGTGCTCCATGCTCGCATTGCTGACGACGACGATGATGATGACGATGATGATGGCGGCGAGGTCGACCAGGACGACTCCAACTCGGACTCGGATTCGGATGAGGACGACGACAATGAGGCTGGGGACAACGGGCGGCTCAAGCACAGGCCGAAGCGGACCGCGTTCGCGATGGAGGATGCGGACTTCTCGGACGCCGAGCCAGAGGCAGAGCTTGGGCCAGAGCCCGTGCCAGAGGAGGAGGAGGATCCGAGCTACGACGAGACCGAGCCGCTTGGACGCCTGATCACAGCCATCCAGGCAATGAGCGTGCGCGACCCGCTGCTGCTGTTGCAGGACGATGCTGCAGCAACATTGCAGCAGCAGCAGCAGCAGCAGCGATCGACTGCTGTGGATTTGTGCACGGCGTTCCTCGACCTCAAGAGTCCCATCAAGCGCTTCACGGCGACCGTGTGCGACTTTATGCTGATGCCGGGTGCCACTGCCGTGCTGATGGGCTTTGTGTCGCGGATGGACACCGATGCAAGCGGAGCAGCGGCTGATCGCAACCATTCGAACGACATTGCAACGCGTCGGGGATATCAAGTCACCAACTTGCTTCGCATGGTCGATCGCGAAGCCGAGGTCAAGCGCTTTGTCGATGCGCAGCTGGAGCCCATCGTCGCTGGCCTGTTCGACACATTGCAGCCGAAATCCAAGGGTAGTCTCTACCACTTTACTGCCATCTTGCAGGCGTTGCTCAAGTACAAGCCAGAGGAGACGTTGGATGCGTTCTTCGCGCTGGACACTTTCCACGAGCTCGTGCGAGACATGTCCAACAACCTGCACCAGTCTCCCATTTCCGAAGCCATCGTCGCCATTTTTGAGGCGAAAGGCCGCCCAACCCAAGTCCGAAAGTTTACGGATGCCCTTCGAGCGACCGGCTTCCTCACCATTGTCGCGCAAGCCATCAATGGCGAGAACGCGGCCACTGTCGCCACTGGCTTCAACCACACTCTCCAAGCACTTGCCGGCCATCCTCTCGCGCGTTCACTGTTTCTTGACTCGTCTCGCCTCGAGTCCTTTTGCGGCAGTCTCGGACAGGTAAGCACGGGGAAGTGTGGAGTTGACGCGAACTCAGCAAAATCGCTCTGCTGTCCGTTGTGTGCTCACTGAACTTTGGATAGACTGTGACTGGTCCGAGTCTGAAGACCTATGAGCAAAGTGCTGCAGCTGCCGAGATTCTCTCCACCCTTTTCCAGTTTAGGTACCGCGTTTTTCATTGCTCTGGAGTGTTGGCGTGGCTTCTTTTTTTTTTTTTTGCTTTGATCGATAACTTTGTTTCTGTGGCTGTGACCTCAACGTATGATGCTCCTTCTACTATGAACATAGCCAAAGTGAGCCGGCAACACCTTTGGGATCGAAGCCGGTCATGTCGGCGTTCAGTCTCGCCAGCCAGCGCGCTGCAGCAGTGACAACCTTTGCTCGGATTGTTCCGAACGTCTGCGAAAAGCTCAAGCTCATGTCCGAGCGAAGCCAGGATGTTCATGCGTAAGTTTGTCCAGACCGAGTTCGGAGTTGTCAACTTTTTGTTCATTTTTCTTCGGGTTTTCTTTTTTTTGGCCATTCTGACGTCAATGGCATTTTGCCATGTGTCTGCCTGATCCTACATTGTCAGTGCTGTGTCGCATCACTCGCGCAAACTCGATCGCCCCGCAAAGGCTGCAACAGTTCCTGAATCAGGCGCCGCCGCTCCAGCTCCAGCGACCTTCCCAGCGCCTGTCGCGCCCTTCACCATGCTTCGTCTCAACCTCACCCGTCTACTGTGCGACATGGTCACCGCTATTGAGGCGCCTGCCACGGCAAACAAGGGCCCAGCCCCATTGCCGCCGCACGCCGAGCAGCTGCTGATCGCCATTCCCGCCACCACTTGGAAACAGCTGCTCAATCTCCTGCTCGAACACCGCCACAACACCGTCTACCACGCGATCTTCTTCCGGCTTTTTGTCGCCACGCTGGCACTCAACTACGAGCCCACCCTCCGTGCTTTGCTCAGCAACACCAAGTTTGTCACGCGCGTGATTCAGCACTACAAGACGGAGAGCAAGGACACTAGTGTGCGCGGCATCATTCTGCTCATGCTCAACTTTATGCGGCTCACTGCGCAATCGGGTCGCTCGGATTACATTGCTGGCATGTTGCATCATCACCCCGAGTGGAATCAGTTCATGCCGCAGTTAATGTACGAATGTTTGTTTTTTTGCTATTGGGCTGGTTTAATTGGATTTTGTGTTGTTGATTGTGTGTCTCATGTGCTTCTTTGGCGTCTTGTGTTTGTGTGTGGACACACAGCGAGGACACTTTGCGACAGCAACGAAGCGTGATCAGCACTGCGGCGGCGCTGAAGCTCATCAAGAGCCCAAGTATGCCCACACCATATTGCGGCCCCGAGTTGCCACGAAGAACATTCGTCACACCCAGCGGAAAGCTTCCCAGCGTCGAAGGCTTGGCCTCTGCCGACGTGTCAACTCAGACCGCCAGCACACTGCTGGATGTTGGCTCTCCTTTCGCGCTGTATCTCGGTTTTGATGCGATCGTTGCCAAACCCGTGAGCGCAGCGGCTCCTGCGCACACTGCCAACTCCAACTCCTCGCCGAGCGCCGGTGGCAAGAAGAAGGCGGGAAACGCTGCTTCGGGTTCCTCGCCCAAAGCCACTCCAGCATCGCCCAAGGCCGCTCCAGCCTCGCCCAAGTCGACTCCAAACTCGCCCAAGGCTACACCAACTTCGCCGAAAGCTACGCCGGCCGCATCCACTGCTGCAGCTCCGGAAAAGACCACAGCTGCAGTTGCCAACACCACGTCTGCCGCACCAGTTGTCAATCACGATTCGGGTGATGCAGGTGCCACAGCTGCCAAGAGCAAGAACAAGAAGAAGAAGAAGAAGAAGGCGGCCGCTGCTTCGTGAGTCTTTTTTTTTTCGGCTGGACATGCATTTTGTACGCCTTGTTTTTTGGCGCTAACTGTGTGCCTTTTTTGGGATTGTTTGTTGTGAGCAGGACCGGCTCTGGCGCGGCAGCGAACGACGATAGTGATGATGATGCATCATAGCCTATCTTGGATGACTTGATGTAAAATGTAAATCGGATTTGCTGTTGCCCAATCTTTCAAAACACACCTGCTTTCAAAAAATACAACATCACTCGCCGCCACCAAAATCGACATGGCTGTAGATTGTTTTGCATCCTTGAAACAACAACAATAACCCACCAAAACAACACCCGAAAGCAAGTGCTCATGGCTTGGCTGGCTCGGTTGCAGAGGTCGGTGCTGGCAATGCTGCTGCAGCCGCTTCTGCCTCTACCTGTGCCTGCTGTGCCTGCTGTGCCTGCTGTGCCTTTGCCATCTGCATCATGACACCGCCCGTCAGTGCTGCGATCGTCGCACCTTGTGCAAACACGCGCAGGCGCATCATGTTCTGGCCGAGCTTGGCGTTGCCCGTCTTGAACGAGTACATCCCGATGCCGAGCACAATCGTCGTCATGGCCATGCCTGCCACACAGACACACATACAAACACCAGAATGCCATACAAATCAGAAGACCTCGCATAGGCAAAACACATGCGTCGTCGACTGCCTGGCTTTACCAAGTGGAACGAAAGGGTTTTCCATCGACTTGCGATAGATTTTGGCGCTGGCGCTTTCCCAAACACGCGACTGTGAGGATGAGTTGGGATCCCATGGCGTGTTGTCCATGACCAGTTGCGGCGGGCGGGCGGCCCGAGGCTGTGCTGGCTGTGGCGGCGGAACGGGCGTGGACATGTCTTGGCTTCTGAGTGAATCAATCAGACAATCGGATGGAAAGAGTGGACCGATTGAAAAATGGTTGGGAAGGATGTGTATTGATTTGATGTACCTGAAGAAGATAGGCATGTGGAACGGAAGTGTGCAGGCGAGGTTGTATCAATCAACCAAGATAGTCAGCACATATCGCACAACCATCAAGATGCACGGTCCAAGCACTTCCAGCCTCCCATGGTTGCAATAATTGAGTGATGCTTTGTGTTGTAATTGTTTGTAGATGCTGTGGCAGGGGAATGTCGGTCGACTTGGGTTGTGGATGGCTGGCAAAGCCGAATCCGGGGATTGCCGCAGCCCCCCCCCCGTTTTTGGCTCGCCCCCAAGAGTGCTCCTGTGTCACATTCTACCCCTCAATGCACTGTTCGACTTTGTCGACTCGAGTTACCCACGTTCTTTCACAAAAAAAAAGAGCCTCAGGGTGACCAATGGCGCCCAGCCTGTTTGCTCCCTCGCGCTCCCTCGCCCAACCTACTCACTCCCTTCACGCCCAAAGCGAACTGTGTGATGTATGCGCATTCTGGTTTGTGTTTTGCTTGTTGTGGGGTGAGGAGGCAATATCACAGTGGAAAAATTTTTTTCGGATTTCGGAGCAAAATTCGGTCAAAATTCGGAAAAACCGAATTTATCATTTTGTCGGTCAAAATTCGGTGCCTCAGCAGAGCGAGATTATGGCGATAGCTCGACGTCTGATTGGTCAGAAATTGCTTTCTTCGTCTCCTTTTATATTATTAAAAATATTTTGTTTTTAATTTTTAATAAAATTTATTTTATTATTGGTTTCCATATTTGCACAAATTTACAAAAATCTCAGATCGCCCCCGCCTGCACCTCCTGGTGCTTTTTACTGGCCTTGGAGGGCTCGACTGGCAGCACGCTGGGCACGCGTCTGATGTCGCCGAGGGCCACTTTGCTCGCCTTCCGTGCAGAATCGCATCTGTTCAAGTAGAAATCACACTTTAGTCACTGTTCTGTCCCGTGCACTGCATCTGAGCATCTGACGAGCAGTCACTTACGCGTTTGCTTGAACGAGACACGTTGTGGGCCGGCCGATAATCGCGGTTGGATCGCCTTCTCACCAAGCCACCGGTGCAGTTGTTGTCCTGACGCGAATCATCTTGATCATCGATTTCAGCGCTTGTTACACGATCGTTTGCCTCGTGGCTTTCGCTGTCGCTGGATGCTGCAGCGAGTCCACTATCCGACGAAGCAGGATGCGCGTCATCGTCCTCGCTCTCGTCTGCCGCCGCCAAGTTGGAGTTTGTGAGCAGGCTTTCGCTCGAACTGACGTTGTTGTTGTTGTTGCTGTCGTCGCTGCTGTTGTTGCTGTCGTCGCTGTTGTTGTTGCTGTCGTCGCTGCTGTTGTTGTTGTCGTCGTCGCTACTGGGTTCAGTGTGGAAATTGATGTCGTCAGTGGCGCCAGCTGAAAGGTCGATGTCGGGGAGGGGCTGTGACATGGCAATTGAATCGGCAACCTGCTGTGTTTCCACCATGACTGATTCTTGTGCATCTGGCGTTCGAGCTGCTGCGCGCTTTTTAGCACTATTGTTCAGCCCACGCGCCGAGTCATACACCTATCAAACATCAGCTCAAACTTAGCATTTCGGTTGTAGTGCTTTCGCCGATCGAACAACACGCGTACCTTGTAGAGTACATCATTGACTTCATGATGCTTGTGCGATGTGACGAGTGCCAACAACCTGTTTTGGAACCAGAGCTCTACTCCCTCATCGGTGTCGGTTGTACCGGCGGAAAGCTGCTCTTGTGTTTTGGTTTGGGCGCTTTTGAGTGCTTGCCGTAGATGCTTTGGTAAAAACCACTTCGGATACCGAGCATGAAGATCGCCAAACATTCCCCGGACCTCTCTGACCCATTTAACCTCCCTATACTCACTCAAGCCAGCTTAGTAAATTGACAAACATCACACTAGATCCCATCATACACGACTGCTGTGCGTACTTGCTCGAGCTCACCTGCCGGGACCGAGACAACAACTCAGATTGCAGCCGCATTGTTTGGGATTGCAATTCTACGACTTGTGCGCGAAGCTGTGATATGAGATTGTTGTTTTCTGAAATGATGGCCGCGTGCCTATCCTCTGCAGCACGGAGGGCCTGTTTGACTTGATCCAACTCAACCGTCGCCCGCTGCGCCGACTCAAGGGCGAATTTTTGGGTATCCATTATGTGCTGGACAAAAGGGGCTACTTATGATCATATTCCACGGAGAGGGCGGGAGTGCGAGACAAGAAGAAGATCATGTGATTTTGGGCGCGAACTTTTGAAAAATGCATTTTCCCGCCAATTCACGCCCTACCTGATTTAAAATTTGCATTTTCTCCCCTTTCTATCGCGCTTCTGCAGTTCCTTCACATCTCTCTCGTGTCGTTCTTGTGTATCCATGTGAGATGAGTGTTTTCCACGCATCCGCGCAGTCGGCATCGATCTGCAGGCAGCAGACGACCGCATCTTTCGTCATCTTTTTTTTTCTTTTTTTTTTTCGCGCCTTTTTATTTTTTTTTTCTTTTATTTTTTTTACCTCCATCCTCTTGTCCTCCTGACATCAGCATCGCTTGCGTGCGTTGGCTGCTGCACAGTCAGAGAGAGGTAAAGCTCAATGACAGACAAGCACCACAAGCCGCGCGACGGCAGTGTTCGCCTTCTTCTTTGCTTTTGTTTTTTTTTATCTTTTTCTTTTTGTTGTGGCACACTCACAAATGTCACTGCTGGCCATCTCGATCTGCACTCGATGTAGCACAAAAAAAAATAATAAATAAAATAATAAATAAATGGTAGACTGAAGCAGTGCCAGTACAAAATAAAATTAAATTAAATTAAATTAAAAAATAAATACAATAAAAAATGAACATTGAAAATAAAAAAAATAAAAAACAGAAAGCGCAACCAAACAGGTTCGAACCCAGTTGCAAAAAGAAAGAAAAACCTTCAAGACGCTTGGTCTAGACAGCTCGAAGTCAACGATGGGCGAAATGGGATTCGATCGCAGGCATGAAACTACACTTTCTCATCCTGCTCCAATCGCGCGTATCTCGATTGGACAATATGTCATTATATCTCAGAATACTACAAGTCGAGAAAAGGAGCACGAAACACCGCGAAAAGACACGCAAACGGTGAGAACAAGCTCACTCGTTTCGTGTTATCGCCTGTCCTGTCGCTGCATTGGCCCCTTTTGCCCCGCTCGCTGCTTTGAATGATACTAGAATGAGCGGTCGTCCTAACGCCATATTGTATTCTGGTGTGTGGGGCGCGGTTTCTGCCATTTTGAAGCGAACATTCGCGAAAAATGAAGCCGGCCGCAGGCGTTCTTCGAACACTATGTTTCCGTGCTGTTATTGCCACTGGACTGGAACTGCTGCGACATCACTTGAGTATAACCACACGACAATGAATACTCTCATCACCACCCTTCACAATCTTTGTCACAGGCCGGTATCAGGCTCGCGGAAGTGACACCCATCGCGACAAACAACGCAACAACCGATCAACGCTCGTTTTTCGGCGCACATCGCACGCTTGACGTCAGCGCTCACTTGTATTACATTTGAATGATTTTTGACACGCATTGATGTGCAGCGAGGACCGAGTGCCGCAAGACTGCCGGCAGTACAAGTAAGGGAAGTGACCGATTTGAGCTCACTTTTGTTTTTATGTCAGAAGATTGGGGTTCATTTCAGCGGTGCATCTGCACCATGTGCGCAGCCGCCTTTCAAACGAATCCATGCAGTTCACCACAAGCTTGGATGTCGGATGCTGACAGAAAGCTTCATCATCAAATCCACAACCTGCCGCTGTCAGGAGTCTGCCCTTGTCTGAACTGCACCAAGTTCGCCATCAAGCAATGGTCTTTCGGCAACGGCAATTTCGAGAAACTTTCGCCGTCAAGTTTCTACAGACACGCGACTCAATGCTCGTATGCAACCGTTGCTGATGTCATCCAGGCGTATCCCGAAATGCGACAACGCTTTGAGACGCACTTTCGAGAGGAGCAAACTGTTCCAATGGCGGTGGATTCTACTCCCCCTACTCCGCCACTGCACACGTCTGAGCCAGCTGCCATGGCAGTGGATGACCATGGTGACGACTACGATGATGGCTTCGGCGATGTCCACGTCGCTGACCACGGTGACGCTCCTCAAGCTCCTCTGGGAGCTGATGACGACGAATACGAAAGCGACTTCGAATTGGACGTCGAAGCGACTGACGAAGCGGACGATACCCCGAACAATGCCACAGTCAATGACCCGAGCGAGACGTCAGAGGAGGCGACTGCAGCACCAGGAGCGGCCGAACCAGGAGCGGCCAAAAACAAAGGACCGACACCTAGAGCGACTCGCACAGCTGCTGCGTATCTGCAGCTTCTCCAATTCCTCAATGACATCAAAATCAAAGGCAAGGTCACGAAAGACATCTTCACTCAACTTCTCACGGGTATCCACAAGTACTGCTCCGAGATTAAAGCAATCTTGGATGATCATTCGACGAGATTGGTCTCTTTGTTCCAGACGTTTCTTTCGGACGTTCAACAGCGTACAAATGTCGACCCAATTGCGTCTGCGGGCGCGTTCTTAGACCAATGTCAAGAGAGTTATCCTGTGATTCAAGGTAAGCACGTCGAATTGGTGGCTGGCGAGGGATTGCTCTCTAACTTTCGAATGTTCCAGTTGTTCCTCCGACCATCCATCGATTTACGAAGGCTCTCAGACTCGTCAATCTTCTCCCGCCAGCGTCACCTGTCGACAAGAACAATT